AAGGTTGGATAATACATCCAATTGTTATTGGATAGAAGAAAATTAGCTGTTATATCTATGTAAAATCATATATGAACAAACGGCGTTGGTTCCAGTGACAATTTTAAATTTATACTTATGATTACCCAGTGGGCACAGGGACGTCTAAAAGACGTCTTAAAGACGTCCGCGGTCGATTCGGGGACAATGATGGCAATGTCTCTGAGTCATCAAAAGACAACTAAAAGTCGTCTAAAAGACGTTCTATGTCTGGTCCAAAAGACGTCCAAAAGACATAAGAAAGGACGTCTAAAGTACGTCTTTTGGACGTCTAAAAGACATAAAAGGGACTTCTAAAAGACGTCTTTAAGACGTCTTTTAGACGTCTTTTGGACGTCCTTTTTACATTCCTTCAGATCATAAATAAACAATTCTTTTATAACATTTTCTAAGTTGAAATTCAGTAATATTGTATTAAATTTGTTTTAAGTTTAATTTTATTTTTTCTAAAATGTGGAGAAATAATGAAAAAATTCCTATGAAGCTGGGATCGAATTCGGATACCTTAGGCTTGAAATACTGCGCCTTAAGCACCTCAGCCGTTCAAGACAGATATGAACCTCTACAAAGTTAACGATCTCACTTGTCAATGAAATGAATTTAACTTAGAAAAATTCCAATGAATTTCACATTCATAAATTTCTTATAGTTCAACAAATGTTGAATGAAAAAGACGTATTTTAGACACCTTAAAGATATCTAATGGCCAAGACATAGAACATGAATAGGACGTCTTTAAGACGTTTTAAAGACGTCTTTTTGTACAAGTCCAAAAGACATCCGCAAAAAGACATCCTTAGGACGTCTTTTGAACAAGTGTGCCTACTGGGAAGGGGTGAATTAAAGTGGATTGGCACTTTTATGCTCTTAAATTCCAAACCAATTCCGTTTTTGTCCGCAATCTTAATGAATTGCTTTTCTATTGTTAAATTGATAATTTCTATCCAATTCAATTCTCTGTAACCACGTGACCAGAATTTGAATCCTCTTTAATGCCCTTTAAAGAATTTAATGTTAATTAAAAGGCATTAACTCCACAACAAATGATTCCTTTAAACGGCATTAAAGTAAATTCAGACTCTAGTCACGTGGTTACAGAGAATTGAATTGGATAGAAATTATCAATTTAACAATAGAAAAGGAATTCATTAAGATTGCAGACAAAAACGGAATTGGTTTGGAATTTAAGGGCATAAAAGTGCCAATCCACTTTAATTCACCCCTTATTACTGGGCGGTTCTTTGAAAATCAAAAAACCAAATATTTTCTGTTAGTGGATCAGTATAGCTCGTGATTGAACGAAGGAATATTTTTTTGTTGATTAGAACCGATTTTACATGGTCTTAATGGTTGTAAAAATGTTAACTTTTGATAAAAGACACTGTCAAACATCCAAATTTCAATTTCTTTGAAAACCCTTCGTTCAATCACGAGATATATTTACCCACTAACAGAAAATTTGTTGTATTTAGATTTTAGATGAAGCAGTCAAAAGATATCTTGACCACCGCAAAAACAATTTTTTTTGAAAGGGGCCCGATGAACTTTTGCTAAGGGCCTGATGATTAATATTTTTTATCAAAAATTTAATATCTTTCTCATTTAATAGTTTACTTTCAGTTTCCAAAGTGTTCAAATAAAAAAATTTATTTATTTTATGAAAAAAAAATTATTAAAAAAACATATGTTTTCAGGTCGTTTTCACCCATGTAACCCCTTAATGAAATCTATTTATTATTCATGGGTTCAATTGAAGAAAATGGAGAAAATATTAAACTTTAAAATATATAAAATTTAGTAACAACCCTTCACGAAAAAATAGACTGCTATTAGCCAATAAAAAAAAGATTCAAACTCCTCCTATTTGAAGAAAGAAATTTTTTTATTCGTTGGTTAAGTTAAACAAAATGGAAAAAATAATTATTAATATTTAAATAATAAAACAGATAATCCTATCCTCCAAAAGAAAAAATAGAGTCTACTAGACAACAAAAAATTAAATTAAAACTCCTCCTATTTTTTCGGAAAGGGTTGTGGTTAAATTTTATGTTTTTAAAATTATAAATATTCTTCCATTTTTTTCAACTAAACCAACAAATAGAAAAACAGCTTTCTTTAAGAAGGAGGATTTTAGATTTTATTGTAATTGGTCTTAAACATTCATTATATCTTTTGAGGGTTGGGACTAAATTTTACATTTTTTAAAATTATAAATATTCTTCAATTTTTTTCATACCTGGGGTGCGTTCACGTAACTTTCACTTTCACTCAAAAAATTGTCACTTTCAATTTCATCAAAGAAATTTTTACTATCACGCAAAAATTTTCACTTTTACTCAGAAAATTTTTACTTTGACACAAAAAATTTTCACTTTAACTCACAAAATTGTCACCTCCACTCAAAAAATTCTTACTTTCAATCAAAACATTTTCAATTTCACCCAAAATATTTTCACTTTAAAAAAAAAATTTTTTCACTTTTACTGTCTATTAAAAAATTTTCAGTTTCAATTACACCCAAAGTAAAAGTTCTTTAAGTTAAAGTGAAATTTTTTTTGGTGAAATTTAAAGTAAATACATTTTTAGTTAAATCGAGTAATTTTTTTGGGTGAAATTAAAAGTAAAAATTTTTGTTGTGAAAGTGAAAATTTTTTGAGTAAAAGTGAAAGTTACGTGATCGCACCCCTGAACCAACAAATAAAATAAATATCTTTCTTTAAGAGGGAGGAGTTTAGATTTTATTTTAATTGGTCTAAATCATTCATTTTTCCTTTTGGGGGTTGGAATTAATATGATTTATTTTTTAATTATTAATTTTTTCTCCATTTTTAACCAACAAATAGAAAAATTGATTTTGAAAATAGGAGGAGTTTGAATCTTTTTTTTGGCTAATAGCAGTCTTTTTTTTCGTGAGGGGTTGATACTAAATTTTATATATTTATCTACTTAATAATATTTTCTCCATTTTGTTCTATTGTACCCACGAATAGAAAATAACTTTCTTTAAGGTGGAGGAGTTTAAATTTTATTTTAATTGGTCTAAAACATCCATTTTTCCTTTTGGGGGTTGGAATAATGTTTTATTTTTCAAATATTAATTATTTTTTCTATTTTGTTTAACTCAACCAACAAATATAAAATTGCATTTTGAAAAAAGGAGGAGTTTATTTTTATTGGCCAGAAGTCTTTTTTTTCTTAATGGGTTAAGTCTAAATGTAACTTTTAAAAATTAAATATTCACTTTCTTTTTGTACTGTTGAACCAACGAATAAAAAAGTTGCTTTTTTAAAGTAGGAGGAGTTAGAATCTCATTTTAATTGGTCTAAACAGTAAATTTTCTAATAAGTTTAAAAAAACGGGAAAAAATTGCCTAATTTATCTGTTTTAGTATAATTATTTATATTTTCTGCTTTTTTATTTTTTATATTTTATTGAATACTAATAATTGTCTTTGTAATTGATTAAATTAAAAAAAGGTTAAGTCCAGTATTGACATGAGGGAATTTTCCTCTCATTATTATCTTTTGATCTATCCTGGAAAATGAGCGACCTTACGGTATTTTCACCGTAGGTGGCGCCTGTTCTCGGCCACTTACCGGTAAAGCTACGCAATTTGAGTAATGAATTACATAAAGTGCTGTGTGGTGCGCGTGTACGGTTCGTGCGAATGTGACTTCGCTCACCGTCGACATATAAGCGGATCACCGAACGATGTACAGCGAGAACTATTGTAAGACCTCTCATTGCACGGAGAGGTCGAAAGTAGTTTGACTGAGAAAATAAAAGCTAACTTGAAATTAACGCAAGTCTGCTGATTTTTGTCCTTATACCTATTTCCTACATTTCCATGCTACGAGCCTCAACTATCAGCCAGAAGGAGAAGGAAGGAAGGAGAGAAGGAAGGAAGCTATTCTCCAGCCGCCTTAGGTCCCCCACCGCCTGCCTGCCAATTCTCTCCTAACCACGATGTCAGATCGTCCGCCTCACTGCCACGTACCCCCCCCCCGCTCAACGACGATACCAAAATTTAACCTACATCGCAGCACCGAGGGTTGCATTGGTTCCCCATGCAGTTCCCCATAAGGGTTAATTTTTATTTCCCCTAAATTCTCGCGGGTCAACCGGCCACTCTTAAAATACTAAAAAATTCAATCTACCCTTTTAAAAGTTTCGCAGCACTCTTCTGTGAACAAATTTGACGAGAATTTCCCTACCCGTAAAAAAGGGAAATTCGCCCATGTCAAAATGGCGCCCAACGTGGGGCCCGAGTTAAAAAAGTTACTTTTACCCACCCTGCTTGTCTCTATTGCTCTCCTTTAAAAGAAATTAATTTTTCTTTTCTCAAATGTTCTCTCGTGAAGAAATTAATTTTTCTTTTTCAAAACCGCCCCCTGTGGCTTCTAAATATTTAAAAAAAAAATTCTTCCCCCTGTGGATAAATTTCTAAGTCACCCTCTCCTGTGGGACTTAGCTCAAAATAAAATTCCAATCACCCCCTGCGGTGCACATTGTTAAAAAAAATTTTTTTTTCTCCACCCTGTGGAGTCTTTCTTCTTTTAAACCTCCAATGGTCCAGACCAATTAAATCTGGTGGCGCCCTCCTTTAAAATAAATTTTCGTTTTTCGTTTCAAAGGTGAAAAATAATGCCTGTAGAACGAACACCTCCAACTAATACCTCTATTTCAAATTCTCTTCTTGATCAATCCGATTTTGCGGGATTTGCAAATACCCCCCTCCCCATTCTATGATGTCTCGGCGAACGGAAGAACCGACACCAGGCCCGTCCGGAACGCAACCTCCTGGATACCGTACACCTGCAGCTGAGAGAACTTCACCGCCAGCCTACAGTGATCTCATCCCTGGATTCTCAAGACGAATTACTTAATGCAGTCTTGGAAATCAACCCCCTATTGGCGGGACTCCACGTCCGGTGAATCCGAGTCTTGGAAATCAACCCCCTATGGTCGGGAATCCACGTCCAGTAAATCCGAATGCCAATCAACCAAGGCAGTCACCCCTTGTAAATTGGGATGAGCTGAGAAACCTTCTACAGATCATCACCACTAATCCCACCGTGGTAAAGCCGGAATTTCACGGCAAGGAACATGAAGATCCTCGAGACTTCCTACGAAGGATGGAGGAATATTTTGTAAATATGGTCACTGAAGACCAACAGAAGGTGGACCTTGCTGCTGAAGGACTTCATGGCGCAGCAGAGAAGTGGTGGGACACTTACAAAGGAATTCCCTTCGAGTGGGCTAGGTTCAGTGAACTGTTCCTGCACAAATACGATGGACCAGTTGTCACGGGTCGGCTGTTATCCCAGCTGTACTCTCAACGTCAAGCCGAGAAAGAGCCGGTGGGAGTATTTTTACAAAAGAAGATCCTATTTTTCCAGCGGTTACAACCGGACACACCGGAAGCGGTCAAAGTGGCTACGCTACTCGAGCTTCTACGTCCGCAAGTTCGGCAGGGGATCAGAGCTTCCCAACCTCAAGACCTTGGAACGTTGATGACACGCGCAGTTGAAGCTGAGTTCGACGAAGCAGATGTTGATCGTACTAATAAACGTTCAGACAAACCTCGAGCACAACCCTCTTCGAATCCTACCAGTGCTACAACCTCTCAACCCATTGAAGGCAAGAAGAATCAACTTCTCCAGTGCTGGTTTTGTGAAGATCGTCACTTCGTTCGTGATTGCCCCAAACGAGTTTTTCCGGAATAGCAGACTTCGTCCGACCAACAGGGAAACTGGCGAAAGGGGGCAACTCGAGGCCCTGCTGCCCCCCAATAGCTCACCTTTCGAGTATATGTACTCAAAGAACATTCGTTCCAATTTTTTCTGTTCAATTTAATGATAAAATAGTTAGAGTTTTGTTTGATTCGGCCTCTACCGACAATTTTATTCAACCCTCTTACCTCTCTCCCCTACAGTTAAATAAGTTAACCCCTTTTACCGAGAGAGTAGAGGTAGCAAAAAAAGGAGTAACCCTTAATATTCTCGGAGAAATTAAATTAAATATCCAAACCACCAACCGGACTATGGAAGCAAGGTTCCTAGTTTCGGATCAAATTTCCAATCCCATGATCTTAGGGGACCCATGGATAGAGGAATACCAAGTAGTCTATGACCGATCCCGCCGATGTATCCATGTGGGAAAACAAAACCGAGATACAATTTATTTTGAAAACCACACTCCTTCTTACTTGGTAGAGGATCCTGATCCTTGTTTAATTAAGGCGGTATCTGACATTCCGACAGATTACCGAACATTAATTTTAAATGTTTTGTCTCGATTTCGGGAAACCGTTAACCCTGTGGGTCCATTGACTCAAACCAATTGCATGGTCCACAAAATCGAGCTTTTACCTCATAAGCCATTTCGAATTCGTCCTTACCGCTGCAGTCAGGAAAAAAGAGACTTTATGATGGAACAAAAGGATGAAATGCTGAAGCAAAAAATCATCGAACCTTCAGATGCCGACTACAGTTCTTCGGTCGTCATTGCCTCCAATCGAGCCGGAAAATTAAGATTCTGTACCGATTACAGAAAATTAAATTCGTTCACCAAGGATGCAACTCCGGAAATCCCTCGGATCCATGACATTCTCAAGGACGTGGGAAGAGCTACAGTCTTCTCTGTGATCGACTTGAAAAAAGGATACTGGCAAGTACCGTTGGATGAAGCTTCTAAAAAATACACGGCTTTCACCTTACCGGATGGAGGAACTTATCAATACCGGGTGATGCCTTTTGGGTTGAAGAACGCTCCCAACACCTTCCAAACTTTAATGACCCAAATTGTTCTCACTGGCTATCTTCACGTCTTCTGCATGGTATATTTGGATGACATCATCATCTATTCCGACTGCTGGGAAGATCATGTGAACCACCTTGGATTAGTGTTGGAACGACTCTCTACTCACAAGCTCCAATGTTCAATAGAGAAGAGTAGATACGGTGTCACCTCTGTTGACTATCTCGGTTATGTGGTCACCGATAGAGTTAATCAACCACAGACCGATCACGTCAAGAAAATTCTGGAAGCAGAAGTTCCATCATCCAAGAAAGAACTTCAACCATTTCTGGGTGTATGCGGCTGGTTACGAGAATATATCCCCAATTATTCTCTCATCACTGTCCCTCTTACATCGCTCCTTGGAAAAGCTGTTGGAAAATGGAAGTGGCCTCCTCAAGCAGATCAAGCGTTCCGGGAAGTCAAAAACCTATTCAGAAACCCTTTAAACTTGGATAGGCCTGATCCAGAGTTGCCCTTGATTCTTCAAGTTCATGCCAGTGACGTAGGAATGGGAGCTGCTCTTTATCAAGAACCAGCTACCGGAGGTCGGAAGGTCATCAGCTTCGCTAGTGCAAAATTTTCCGCTGTAGAAATTCGGTACGACATAAACGAACGAACTTGTCTCGCTATAGTCTGGTCCTTTAAAAAATATACCGTTCTATTGCAATCTAATCCGTAATTTTAGATGAGAAAGCAAAAAGAAACGATTAGTTTAATAAATTTAAAGGATAATCGATTTTTATATTATTTTTTTTGCTGAAAATACATTTTTTTAAATAAATTGGTATATGATCGTTATTTAATTTTTTTATTTAATTTTTGGTAAATAAGAGAAACTATTGGAAAATTTAAAGCAATAATTAATGTATATATTGAATAAAATCATTGCTTTTTCAGACATGAAGGCTGTTGTATTCACATATAGCACGGAGTAATTTTGAAGAATATTCTGGATGATCTCGTGATAATTTATATTTTTGCCAAACACTATTAAAATCAAAGTGGACCGACTCCATTGCTTGTTCACTGAAAACTCCTAGCCCCATTTGTGTTCGGTCGCAAAAATCTTGAATGTGGAAAAAAACAGCATGCACTTTTGGAGTAACTGATACGTTTAAAGCAATGTAACTTTCCTTGATGCTTGCGATTTTCTGCTTGTAATCTGGACATAGTTGGTTTCCAAAGCACGACGTAACAACTGCTTTAAAATCTTCAAACACTTGAACGAATTTCAAGCAAGACAAAGAACACTTTCCACGTAGAATATCTAGTTTATCAAGCATTATCTTGCAAGAATTTCCTTTAAAAGCTGGACTGCCGTGCGTAATTTCTCGCTGAACATTGCAACTTTTTGCCCACTCCAAAGCTTCGATTTCAAATTCAGAAAGGAGGCGATTAAAAATGCAGTTCACGACACCCAACATTAAGTGCAATTCTGGCGGTGGTATGATGTCGAGAATCAGTCCATCAGAAAGACTAGAAAAAATTGGTGAATTAATGCAACATTTGTAATTCCTTGCTTGTTTTTTATTAGCTCCAGCATTTTTCCAATCTTCGTAGTTTTTTGATATATTTTCAATTGTTCTCAAATTTCCTCGTTTGCAAAGATTTTTTTTATCGATATCGCACCAGGTACACGGAAACGAGCTGCTATGCGACATTAGACCGGCCATAATATTCGCAAGTTTCAAATCCGTAGCTATTGTTCCACCAAAATCGTTGATCCTGACTGCCGACCATAACTGACTTACATTTTCATGATTTTCTTGCGTACATTGTGCTATTGCTAATATAAACAACTTCTTCACTCCTGAATCTTTAAACTTTTTTTTACAAATCTTACTGTTTTCCACATCACTGACGACGCCCTGAATGGAAAGGCACAATTTTAAAAATTTGCCACCACCATCTATGCCGAATTTCAATTTCACATCGTCAACCTCACGTTTTTCCTTGACATGATTAATAAAACCTTCCAGATTATGGCAATATATAACAGCTTCTTGAGAGTTTGTAGTTTTATCTGCTTTAATATTAACAAAGTCAAAAACCCGTGATGTAAAATAATCGTCGACTAAGTGAATATGATTTGACATTTTCTGTTTTAAATTAGGTTCAATAAATTTCCCTTTTGTTAGTACACGAACGAATCATTGCAGCAATACCACAGGTAGTATTTTGACTGAGATTGTAACTCGTCTGTATTTGAATCATGTTTTCAGCGGTCAAGATTGATTTATTAGAAATATTCGGTGAAATTGTCGTATCACAGCCAATATTAACCGTAAGCGGCTGACCACCAGATGATTGACAAAGCGTCACACGATTTTTCTCACCTTTTTCAGAACAGGTTTCTTTAATTAGTGTTGAAGCTATCTGTTCTTTTAACTTTGGTTGCGAATTTTTAATAATACCTGTTAAATTTTCAAATCGTGAAGTCAAATTACATTTGTGAGATTTTCCGCGTGCAAGAAGTGTAAAGCAATTGCTACAGTATCTGCCCTTACTTGAATTTTTCGACTCATCTGAAAATTAAACGAAAATACGCTATTTTTAAAATTAATAGAAATTGAAAATTAAATAATTAATTATGAATTACTAAATAATAAAATTAGTAAGTAAATTAAATCGAAATAAAATGATAAACAGAATGATAAACAGAAATTTTAATAAAATTGAAATCAATTAAAAAAAATTAGGAGAGAGTGGGGCAAAGGCGCTAAGCGGGATAAAGACGTTTTTTAAAATATCTCCTTTATTTTCTGTCTATTCCAATTGGTATTAAAAATTAAGTTGCAATGCAATCAGACCAATTGATTAAAAAAACACATAAAAATATCAAATATTTTAAGAAATATAACAAAAAAATTGTTTTGCAAAAATAAAATGTTAATTTTACTGAACAAACTTTTATTTTTTAAAACATAAGTTTAAGTATTTAATTTTTTAAAACATAACATGCAAATAAATTAAATATTTCTCTACACAACTGGCGTGGTGTTTTAGTTTAATTTTGTATCTAAATATTCTTAATTTAAAGTAAAAAAAAGTTTCTTATGTGGGGCAAAGGCAATATTGAACATAATTTGGTTAAAAACAATGGAATATTTGAATTTTCTATGTATTAATTCACAATATGAGGTTAAATGTTAAAATCACTAAAAGTTTTTATTTTTTATTTAAACAGTTTAATTCTTTTAATAATATGTTGTTAACCTTATGTTTCGTAAATATTATACTAATAAATATCACTTGTTCATTTTTTAAGGCTTATAAATGTTTTCTTTTAGAAATATAAGCGAAAACGTCGCTGTCCCAGCGTGTGGGGCAAAGGCATTTTTTGCATTGTTTTTAAATTTCATTAAATAATGTATTCATAATTTTAATATACTAAATAACAACTATTAAAATTTCTTGTTGATTAATCTTAGAATAATGAAAAACAAAGGCCGCATAAATTAATTGCTTAATTTAAAAAATATACATCGATAAATGTAAACCTAGCGCCTTTGCCCCACTCTCCCCTAAATAATAAAATCAATTGATTAAAAGTGAATTAAATTTTTTTAAATTTTCAAGTAAATTCAATTATATTCTTATGATTTACCTCCTTTTTCAGTATTTGAAACATTTTTTAAAATACTTTTTTTCGTCGGCAATAACTTTCCTTTGGCATAATTTCCGCATTTTGGCAATTTAGCAAGTTGACAAAGTCGACAATCACAAGGCAGCTTTGAATTTAATCTTGTCACTTTTTTTAAACCCATTTCACAATAATTTGTAATATTTAAGCTTATTTGCTCGCCCTTTTTTAGACGATACAAAATTCTTTTACAATAGCTGCAGAGAGCACAAGGAAGCCGATCATCTTCAGAATCATAATTAAATACTTTCTCAACTTCTGCTTTCAACTTATATTTGATTG